TTTGGAGATAAGAGAGAAAGCATTTCTTTAGAGGTTACTGAAAATTAGTTTTTTAAAAGCAAAACTGATGAATAAATTTAAAACACAAGGTGACACGTGGGTTGGAAGCTATCCATTATGGAGAACTGGTGAGGCTTATGATAGGGAGGAAAAATGGGTCGTTTTCCATAGGAATGCTCCCAGAAGTTTTGTTATGTGTTTAGACCATAGAGTGGGAATAAATTTAGAATTTAGCTGAAGGATGTGTGTGTGCATGCCACATTGCTTCAGTCATGTCTGATTCCTTGGACCCTATGGACTGTAGCCCGCCAGGCTCCTCTGTCCAAGAGATTCTCATGAAAGCAAAAATACTGGAGTGGGTTGCCATTTCCTTCTCCAGGGGATCTTCTCAATCTAGGGATCGGACTGTGTCTTCTGCATTGCAGGAGCATTCTTTACCACTGAGCCACCTGGAAGGAGGTAGCAGGTGAGGATGAAATCAAACAAATCAAATTACATCTTCGGACATTGTTTAAATTAGTGCCACTCAGAGTGGGCCTTCGGACTGGAGTGGATTCGCAAAGCTGTTGACTGCGAGCATGGGATGATAAAAGCGTTGAAATGGAGGGTAGACGTTCAGAAGTTGCTGGTAGCCACTTGAGAGGATAATTTTATGTTTACAGAAGTCAATCACAAAAAAAAATTTGGCTTGTACTTTGTGTATCTTCTTAAATCTTATTTTCCAGTCATCCATTTCTATTAGATGTTATGAAAGGATCTGCAACTTGTTGGAAGTTAAAAACAACCCATTAAAGGGTCCCCTTACCACACATAGTTAGAGAAGCAGTGAATGATGGATGGGACGAACAGTATTTTTTCCCTTCAATCCAGTGAATAGAGACGTGTCGAGGAAGATCAGATTCATTTCAGGAAAAAAAATAAAGCAGCACTGCGGCAAAGTTTCCTGCTCGTCTGAATTGTAATGAGAATGAATAACTTCCCATTTTCACCCCCACTGCATCTCTCGGGGCTTCCTTTTGGCCCCAGGACGTGTGGCTCCGACACAGAACATAGCTGCAGGGTGCCTCGGGGGAAGGTCCTGGTGTCTTTGTCTTCCTGGAGAGCATTCCCTACCCCCAGGGTTCGTGAACCCCCCAAGGGGTGCATCCTAAGAGGGAACGAGGGTGGGGCTCTGAGACAGACAGGCTGCCAAGTTTGGCTTTGACGGTGTGAGAGCCAGCCCAGTTGGAGGAGAATGTCCGAGTACAATCTGATGTCCCAGCAAAGTACAGCTTTATAGATCAAACCCAGTTCTGGGTTCAGGAAGCTTACATCCCAGGGTGCCATGATCGCGGTCCTGGCCTTATCAGTGGGGATCACCTTAAAGACAAATGTCTGAAGGTAGAGACCTTACAGAGAACCCCACATTTTACCAGAGCTGTCTGCTCCAGAGCAATGTTTTTGAACTTCAAGAATGTTCTACTTTCAGATAGATCTTAAAATGCCCACCTTAAAATTCCCTTAAAGTGTGACTTCCCCTAACACCCACAAGTGGTACCGTTGTTGTGGTTTAGTCACTAAGTTGTGTTTGACTCTTTGTGACCCCATGAACTGTAGCCCACCAGGTTCCTCTGTCTGTGGGGTTTCCCAGGGAAGAAGACCGGAGTGGGTTGCCATTTCCTTCTCCAGGGGATTCTTCTCGACCCAGAGATCAAACCCATGTCTCCTGCATTGGCAAGTGGATTCTTTACCACTGAACCACCAGGGAGGCCGATACAAGTAGTATATGAGGGATAATTAACTTAATTCTCCCAGGGGTGAGGGAAAGATTGCACATACATACAGAGGAAGAGCCTCTTCAACTAAAAATCAACTGGAAACAAAGATGTTTGGTGAAAATCTGTATAAGCCAATGCGAGTGCAATATCATTTACTGAGCCTTTTTTTTTTCAGGAGGATGCTGGGTAAAGAGGATTCTTAGTAGCTGGTACCTCTCATCGCACGATGTTGTTCTAAGTGCTTTTCTTTGGTTATTTACATGCTAAGTTGCTTCAGTCATGCCCGACTCTCTGCGACCCCATGGACTGTAGCCCACCAGGCTCCTCCATCCATGGGATTCTCCAGGCAAGAGCAGTGGAGTGGGCTGCCATGCCCTCCTGCAGGGGATCTTCCCAACCCAGGGACTGAACCTGTGTCTCTTATATCTGCTGCATTGGCAGGCAGGTTCTTTACCACTAATTCCACCTGAGGACCGGTCATTTGGTTTCAGGCAGACAGCCACCTTCTGAGGCCAACATCTCTCCACACAGAAGGAATAGCCCACAGAGACTTGAGTTGGAACTTACCAAACATCTCACACCCAGAAAGGACAGTGCTAGACTTCCCACCCGAACAGCTGATCGCCCCGTCATCCGATGACCATGAGACCTCAAGCAAAGGGATTGGATGGCGCAGATTGCAGGGCCCACGGTTTGCCCAGCAAGCACCCTCTGTGGCTGTGTAGACCTCGCCTCTTATGACCTAGGAGGTGAGTCTGATTCAAAGGGAAGATTTTCCTAATTGGAATGTAGGGTGTTTTAATTAGAATATCCTGGAGAACACAGCTTGCCAATTGAGGGCTCCAGAGAAGCAATCACTGAGCTCCTTTGCTCTCCGGGCTGCAAAGTAGAGGATGAGAGGGTTCCCCGAGGTAAGCAGCCTGCACCCGCAAGTTGATAAACCAGGCGACCGCGCAGCATCAGGAAGTGAAGTGATGAAATTACTCTCCATTGATCGGGCAGCTCAGAGCCCTGTAACATGCCCCCGGAGGAACTCGGCGACCTGAGGCTGACGTTTGCAGAATAACTTCTCTGGGGGATGAATCTAGAGATGAGGGATAGGACCTGATCAAAGAGAAATTTCTTTGAATTCCCTATCCTAGGGCAGAGCCGCCAACCTCAGTTCTGCTGTGCAAAGTGACCTGTGAGTGTGTGTGTGTGCACATGTGCACACACACCCCCCAACCTGCAGAAAAGCAAGGGAAACCCGGCTGTGTGTGTCCACACTGGCAGCCTCAGAAGCTTCTGTTAAAGCTGAAAATGCCAGGAGGGCCCTAGAGGTCTTTGGAGATCGTCACACACACCAGCTGAGCAGCCTTCGCTCAGGGACTAAGAGAAACCGCCTGGAGCCCGTGGAACGGTAATGAGCTGGCTTTGAAGGCGGCTGGAAAAGTTCCTCACAAACTGCACATATATCCATCACCCCAGCCAGCCCCAGCGGGCTCCCGCCCTGCTCTGGTTTTAGAAAACATTGGAACGTTTGAACGCTGGAGAAAACTTACGACCTTGGAACACGTTGCCTGTTTTCTTACAACTTAATGAGACTAAATCGTTGATAAGTTCTGTTTGGAAGCCCAAGAGTGCAACCCCCCCATCCCGGACTGGGCTCTCCCGAGCCCTCTCTCCTTGACAGAATCCTCCGAGCGGTGTTCTCGAGGGTCATCGGCCCCACCCGCCTCCTCTGACTTGAATTCTCCAGTGAATTTTGGCAAAGCCGCAGTGGTCTGAGCCTGTTGTGTCTTGGCAATTTATTCGAACCCCCTCCTAATATATTCCAAATGCTAGGAAAGCAGCCTTCTCTCCGTTAGGCAGAGTTGGGTTGGGCGTTCTAGAAAAGCGATCCTGTTAGAATCACAGAGTCGGGCAGAGCTGGAGAGGTTCCTTCATTCACCTGACCAATGTCTGCTGATGGTTCACAGCCTGCCAGGCCCCTGGCTGGCTTGGGGAGCCCCAGGGGTGGTAAGAGAGGCTGACCTTTGCTCTCAAGGCACCCACAGTGAGCTGCGATGCCCAGCAAACACGGAAACAATCCTATACACATCGAGGAGCTTCGGGAAGGCATTTGTGTCTGTGACTTGGGGGAGGCTCCCTGTCAGAGGAGGTTATGGGGGGCTGGGAGATGGTGATGGACAGGGAGGTGTGCTTCAGTCCATGGGGTCCCGAAGAGTCAGACACGACTGAGTGACTGAACACCACCACCAATGGGAGAGGCAGATTCCCCCCCAGGCTGCTGCAGGCACCTCAGTCCTGTGAAGGCCAGGGCAGAATAGAGTCAGGATTTATTAAGTGCTTCCTCGGTGAAAAGAGATCCTGTGAGGGAAAATGGCTCCACTGCCCTCAAGGAACTTAATAGATCGTTGAGGCGGCCAGACATCGTCGGCCTGTCCTGCTGGAAATACTGGAATTGGGTGAGTAAAAGCCCGAAAGGCCGGTTCTCACCTCAGGTCTCAGCTGTGTGACTTTGGGCAAGTTTCTTGACTTCTCTGTGCTTCCCGTGTGTGGAATGGTAAGAACGCCCAGATCTCTCTCCCGTGAATGTTGTGAGAAGTGAGTGGAACACTCAGAAACAGGCAGGCCCGGGTCACTCCAAGCACTTGCTCTACACAGCCGTTTCTCCTAATGTGATCACGGTGGCCCTTTCTACGCACCCCTCTTTGCCCCAGTGTTAGTCCCTCAGTCAGGTCCGACTCTGTGACCCCATGCGCTGGAGCCCGCCAGCCTCCTCTGTCCATGGGATTCTCCAGGCAAGAACACTGGAGTGGGTTGCCATGCCCTCCTCCAGGGGAATCTTCCCGACCCAGGAATCAAACGCAGCTCTTTGGCACTGCAGGCAGTCTTTACCGTCTGAACCACCAGGGGAGCCCAAGGCACCTCTAGCCCTGCAGTGCCATTCGACGTGCCCACGTTGGCCTCGGGAGGCAGGGTCTGTGTGGGCGGAGGGCAGGCACCAGGCCTGCCTTGGAAGCAATCAGTCTTCGCCGAAGGGAGGTTGGTCTTTACTGTAGGAGGAGGAGAGACAGGTGGTTTCAGGTTTGGAGCCAAGAGGGCTTTGGCAGGAAAGGTGTGTCTGGCCACGTTTACACGCTGCTTTCAGACATAATAGCCTTAATAGGACGGGGGTAAGAATACATCCCTCCAAGTGCTATTGGCTGTAGCCAGCTTCTGCAGGGGTTGGCCAGTGAGACCAGCGTGTCCCCCCGCCCCATGGTGGGGGGAGGTTGCCTGACCGCAAGGGAAGTGGCGTCATCACTCACAGGTGCCCCAAGCCTGGCTTCTCCTAAGGCGTCACCAGGATTCTGGGGAAGGTGGTACAGAAATAAGGAGAAGAGGCTCTGGGATGCTGGGCTAGGCTCTCGGGGTTCCCCCAGTGTTGGCCCTGGGGATGCTTCCAAGCAGAAAAGCGCTGGAAGATGCCCCCTGCATGCGCCCCGGAGCAGGGCTAAGCTGCAGACCCGTGGGGTGTCTGTCCCACTGGAGGGGACCCCGGCTTGCAGGAGCTGCCAGCCCCCGCCACGCTGGAACGCAGCGCCTTGGCATTTTCAGCCTTGGCTTCCTGTCACCCCTGAGTTTCTTCAGGAAAGCAGGAGGCCAGGGAAGGAAGACGTGAGACCACAGCGGGTGCTGCCGGTCCCCACAGTTCAGCTGGAAGGGCCACATGAGCTTGAGACGATGCAACGTCTCCCTGTCAACACAGCTGAGCATGTGCCCGTCCGGCTACGCGGGAAGCACTCCGCTGGTCCACGGGCCCTGGCCCAGGCTTGGCGTGTCTCGTGTCAACCAGCCCTGAGGCAGCAAGACAACCGAGTGATTCTGCTTAGAGCTGAGACAGGACAGGTGGGCCTCTGCGCCCCCAAAGCCCAGGAGGTAAAAAGGACATGCCTCTGGAAGAGCATCAGTCCCGGAGCCAGTCAGAAGCCCCCGCAGTGGGAGGCGGTCCAGCTCAGAGTTGAGAGGGGGAGCAAGAAGACTGCCTTCTAGGGGGAAGACCACGGCTTCAGGATGCTGCTCCCAGGATGGCGGGCACCCCGGTATAGGCACTTCAGGAGACGCCAGGGGCCTTTCTGGGTCAGGAAGGATCTTTGTTTCTGTCTCCTTCTGTGATTCGAATTTACTCTCTAAATCAATAAAGACTAGGTCGGCCAAAAGTAGGGTTTATTTTTTTTTGGCTCAGGCATAAGTCTTCATCCAATTCGATCATGGCCATTTCTAGCAGGCCAGAGCAAGGGTCACTGGGGCATTGGTTTTCAGCAGATGTCATTTGTGATCCTTTCAGGAGGCTGGATTCTGCAGCAGGTCAACTGGGTGTGGCCATGGATGCGACCCAGAGCCCCGGGTGCCCACAAGACCAGATTGACATACTGTCATCTCCCTTTTCCCCATGGGACCTCTCTCAATGATGACAGGGACTCAGAAATTTCATCTGAGGCGGCTAGCACGCCTGCATCTTTACACTTGCCAGTTCAGTTCAGTTTAGTTCAGTCGTTCATTCGTGTCTGACTCTTTGTGACCCCATGGACTGCAGCACGCCAGGCCTCCCTGTCCGTCACCAACTCCCGGAGCTTACTCAAACTCATGCCCATTGAGTCAGTGATGCCATCCAGCCATCTCACCCTCTGTCGTCCTCTTCTCCTCCTGCCCTCAATCTTTCCCAGAATCAGGGTCTTTTCAAGTGAGACACTTGCCAAAGTCATTCCAATTTTTATTATTATTAAGGTAACACATGATGCTTTGGTGCTCAGAAAGGCAACTACCGGTCTCCAAATCTTTTTTATGACTTGGGAAGATTTTCCTTCTGAGTGTGTTTCAGAGGGACCTTCTCATTTTCCCGCATTTTGGCTCATGCCAGCAGGCCACTTCCCAGAATCCCTCATGACTCAATGCCAACTCCCAGGAATGTAATCAGTTGCAAATGTTTCGGGGTGGATGACTGATGCGTGCGGTAACTTTATCACTTCTCCCATTTTTCACTGTGAGCAAACTGTAGAAATTTCACACGAGGCCACCTCCTTCTCTTCTCCCCCCCACCCCCCGCCCCCAACAGTCCTCTAAAAATGCTGAAAGTATCAGCCAAGAAGGACGGCTTGTCTGTGGCCAGGAAGGCAGGACTGATGGGGTCAGGCTGAATGCTCATCTAGGTCAACAGCACAGGCCTGGTGGTTGATGGGAGCCGCTGTCTGTTTCAGCGATCTCCAAGAGCACGGGGGAGTCTGCTCTTTTCATGAGAATGCGTGTTCCCCCTGGTGTGTGGTCCCACCTGGCTCATCCCAGGTCTCCAGGAGAGCCGGTTACAACAGAGTTGGCTCAGGGGTACCCCCTGCCCCACAACCTAGGTTGTGCCTCGGACCCAGATCAGAAGGAGCTTTCCTAACAGCAATGACCACCTCCTCCCTGAAACTCATAGCTATAGTCCAAGAGCTATTTGTGATATCCTAGTCCGTGCCAGGCACCCTGCCCGGAGCCGGGAGCCAGCTTGTGGGCCACAGAGAGAAATCAGATGAGAAAAGTGGACCTTCAGAAGGAGCGCTAGGGCAAAGGTGGGCCGGGACAGAGTTTCAGGGGTCAGCTCTCGTGAGGCTGAGGCTGGGGGGACAAAGCCTGTCTGAGGGTAAGCAGAGTGTCTGCCTGGACATCTCCTGAGGTCCACACCCTCCTCCTGGCGGGAAAGTCCACGGGGAGGTCGGCCAGGCGATCGACTCTCTGGGTCAGTTTCCGGGAGCCACTGCAAACAAGTATGACAGACTGGGCAGCTTAAGCCACACGAAGTTACTGTCTGACGGATCTGGAGGCTGGAGATCTGAGATCACAGTGTCAGCAGGGTTGGTTGCTTCTGGAGGCTGTGACGAACTCTCCAGGAGCTCCTGGGGGCCGCCGTGACCCTCAGCTTCGGCCTGTAGACGCATCGCTCCCATCTCTGTCCCCGTCTTCCCGTGGCCTTCTCCCCTCCGAGTGCCTGCGTCTCCCTGCGTCTCTACACAGCCCCCTCCTAAGGACATCAGTCCCATGGGATTAGGGGCCCATCCGAATCCAGTATGACCTCATCTTAACGAAGTGTATCTGCAAAAACACGAATTTTCACAGAAGGTCACATTCTGGGGCTCTGGGTGGACGTGAACGTTGGGGGCTGGAGTTGGGAGGCCAGAGCTGGTGTACTAAGTTGAGAACATGCAGATGACGACCTGCTGACTGAGGCCACACAAGCCACCTGCCCAGTGTCCGCAGGCCACTCCGTCAGCATCTGAGCTCCAGCCCTGGGGAGTTGAAGATACTGGTCATTTAGATTCAAGGTGCGGTTGCAGTGCATTCATACAGAGGAAGTAAAGTTACAAGATGTGTCACTTACAGATTCCAGAAAAGGAGGCATGCAGAGAGTCGCAGGAAGGGCCACCGACCCTCCCAGGCCACGGCGGGTGGGGGATGGACAGCAGGACAGCAGGCACCAATGACCTCTCAGGTGCTTGGGGCAGAGGTCATCCAGTTTCCTCAGGCTGAGCCCTGAGAGGTTACTGTATTTGCTCATTTGTTGTTGTTGTTTTTCAGTCGCTAAGTCATGTCCAACTCTTTGCGACCCCATGGACTACAGCATGCCAGGCTTCCCCGTCTATCACCAACTCCCTGAGCTTGCTCAAACTCATGTTCATTGAGTCAGTGATGCCATTCAACCATCTCATCCTCTGTCGTCCCCTTCTCCTCCCATCTTCAATCTTTCCCAGCATCAGGGTCTTTTCCAATGAGTCAGTTCTTTGCATCAGGTGGCCAGAGTATTGGAGCTCACCCTCAGCATCAGTCCTTCCAATGAATATTCAGGGCTTATTTCCTTTAGGATGGACTAGTTGGATCTCCTTGTTGTCCAGGGGACTCTTGAGAGTCTTCTCCAGCACCACAGTTCAAAAAGCATAAATTCTTTGGCACTCTGTCTTCTGTGTGGTCCAACTCTCACATCCATACGTGACTACTGGAAAAACCATAGCTTTGGCTATACAGACCTTTGTTGGCAAAGTGATGTCTTTGCTTTTCAATATGCCGTCTAGGTTCGTCATAAATTTCCTTCTAAGAAGCAAGCATCTTACATACAATTTTATGGCTACAGTCACTGTCCAGAGTGATTTTGGAGCCCAAGAAAAGAAAATCTGTCACTGCTTCTACTTTTCCCCCTTCTATTTGCCGTGAAGTGATGGGACCTGATGCCATGGTCTTAATTTTTGAATGTTGACCAATTTTGTTGATTGTGCATTTTTATTGACGTGTAATTGCTTTACAATGCTGAGTCAGTCTCTGCTGTATAGTGAAGTGAATCAGCTATAAGCAACATACCTCCTCTCCCTTCTGAGCCTCCCTCCACCTCTCGTCCCCCACCCCACCCCGTAAGTCATCACAGAGCACCAGGCTGAGCTCCGTGCTCTATACAGCAGCTTCCCTGAGTGGTCATTTTAAAAGGTGCCCCGGGAGAAGCAGCGTGAGCGGGAACTGGGGGTGAGACTCCTAACCTCAGGTCCTGATCCAAATGTGCAGCCTCGGGTGAGCTGGCATGCTGTGAAGCATCCAGGGAGCAACTCAGAGAAGCTGTTTTCTCATCACAGGGGTCCCTGCCCAGTCCTCCGTGGTCTCCACAGGCAGTGATGCTGGGGGTACACCCATCTCATCTATCACAGGAGCCACTGCTGGCGTAAGGAGGAGGCAGAGAGAGAGCAGACAGGTCACTAGGACCAGAGGAGGCCAGCGGTGAGGACCAAGGCCGGTAGGATGGAGTCAGGAAGGACCAGGGATGTGGGGGCCGATGGTCCGGGACCCTAGGTGGAGACGAGATGGGCAGATGGGGCCAGCTGTGTGTAAAAGGCGGACATGGACGAGGAATGGGCACCCAGATGCCAAGAACCCAACTCTCAGATACCATGTGAGAAACCCCAGCCAAGAGAAAAAGCCTGGTCACCTACCTAGATCTCTCTTGACAGGATGACTCTCAGCAAACCACTCACTTTTCCCTCAGCTTGTAGTTGCTAAAAGTCCGCCCTGAAGTGATTTGACATAGACCGGCTAGAAATCGAAGTTTACAGAGGATCTACACCAATGAAAAGTTTATTCAGCATTTTGGGTCTCAGTAACAGGTATTAGGCTGTTGTTGTTGCCATGACGATGGCCAAGCACCCCCCCCCCCCTGCCAGCTATCTTGGGATCACTTGTAAAAACACTCAATATATTCTCAAAAGAAAAGTACTTTTAAGTTGCTAAAATGTAAATATAGGTTGAGACCGCCTGGTGCTTTGGGGGCTTCTAGGAAGGCAATATTTTTAAGTGAGTCAGAATACAGGATCGTTGTTATTAAGGTAAACTTCATTCATTCTCTTGGCCATTCCATAGACAATGCGTTCACACCTGCCCAGCAATGTTCTGGATGCTGGAGACAGAGCCATGAGCAGTTCAGGTCAGCGTCTCATAGTACAGTTCTGGAGGGAGGGAGTTGTGAGAAAATTAGCAACGTGGGCTTTGTAGGGGGGCATCTGTGTTCAGGGGAACAATTAAACATGGCAGGGGGGGACTGTTTGTGCAGTGAGGCTGTGGGAAGCTTGGCTTCTGCATCTTTCCCTGGCACAGGTGAGTTTCTCCAACTGCCACAGGAGCCTAGAGTCCACATTTAAAAGCATCTGCATGGTTGACCAAAATCTCTGAGGATAGTCTCTCTGACCTCTGCCCAGCCCGTGTCTGGTACAACCCCCAGATGCAACTCTGTCCGCCTGCCCTTCTCCTCTGGGAAACAGCCCAGAGGAGGTTCTGTCTCTGTCGGAAGCGGGTGATGGCAGAATGTCCTCCAGGGCCTCTGCGGGGGTCTCCTAGGGAGGCCCGCACACCTGTCGGGGGGCCTCCGTGTCTGCCGGGCGGCTCATCTTACCCCGGGAACCCACACGGTACTTCTCCCCATCAATTCACTTTTCAACACCAAATACATCTTTCTCACTTTACAGCATTTTCTTACATGTCTACCA